GTCTGTGGACTCACATGCATACGCATGTGCAATTGGATGCACGCTCTCACTTTGGTTTTCTCTTTGGCACCTTTCTTGTTTTTGTTTGTTGGCTTGTCCCGTATGAGTCCTTAAAGGGAATTTGAATTTAACAGTTGGACCTTGTCGGCCGCAGTGGCTTGCTTTTCTCGTGCCCTTTCAAGGAAGAAGCAAAAGTTGACATCTGCTTATTGCAATTAACACACATCGTGGCACGCCAGAGTCGAGCGGCGCCGCCAGCTGTGCCACAAACGGAGGAATTGAATAAGACTGAGCTCATATATCGGCGATGAGCGAAGTGCCTGAGGAGTTTACGGACTCGGCCGAAGAGTGGGAGGCGCCTGTGCAGGTTTACCCGGCGGAGGAGGACAAGCCGCGGCGAGCACAGCAGCTGCTCGAAACGCTGGACGGCGAAGAGCGCGAGTTGGCAGGGGAGGTGGTCCCTGTGGAGTTTTGCCTGCCCGACGGGAAGAAGGTTCGCCGTGACCATTTCATGGGGCAGACCGTCGCCTACCTCAAGGCGCAGCTGGAGGACATTGACGGTGTGCCGTACGAAGGGACAACGCTCTTTCTTGGCGACCGCCCACTTCTCGACCCGTTGTCCCTGAACGATTTGCCCTTCAAGGGTGGGGAGTGTAATTACGTCACAGTGCGTTTCTATGAGTAGGAGGACACGCACCCAAATGTGACTTTGCCTTTCCACGCTGTAGTTTATTTTTATTAATATTTTTGTTATTGCTGCTATGTTTTGATCGATTGACTGGTGGTGGTGGTGGTGGTTGTTGCAGGGGGGGGGGGATGTTCCTTTCTTTTTTCCCTTTCCCTCCCTGTTGATTTCCGGTCTCGACGGTATGTGCGCATCTGCCCTCCCCCCCCCCCCCCCTTTTTTTTTTTGCCTTCTCTCTCTCTGTGTGCGTGCATATGTGGTTGGGAGTACAGTGCTGCGGGTGGGGCGGTGGAAACCCTGTTACCCGCGGTGACGCATGAGAGGGGAAAGCGAGGAGCATCGGGCAAACAAAAAAGACGTATGTGGAAAGGCTTGGTGCTGTTTAAGACGGGTAGGGAATAAAACAAGAAAAAAGTGTGGGGAATGTGTGGATGTTAATACATCTTTGAGAACAGCGAAGGAAGAGATGATATAAGGAGTGCGTTTGTTTGCATCTGTGTATGGGGAGGTGTAGGAGAGGGAGGGATGGGGGGAGGGGAGGGGAGAAGGGAAAATGCGAAGAGGCGGGTATAAAAACATCCAGTTATTCGGAGAAGCGACGGTTTATTTAGATATCTTTATGTATTCTTCACTAATGCTTTTCTCTATGCCTCCCTCTGTCACCTGTCTCGCCGCCTCTTCTATACGCCCATGCGTGTTGCCTCCGGATTTCTCAGCCTCAATTGGGTGGTTCCACGTGTCATTTTTGTTTTTGTGTTTTCTATTTGGTTGATTTGTTGTTTTTGCGTGAAACTTGCAATGAAGTGTGCGTGGCAGCACCGCTGAACGTCAGCTTGACCGCGGCGCAGTAAAGGCTCTGCAACTTGCAGGGGGAAGTTGCTGGCGGCTGCGACGCCGATGCTGCGCGTCAAACTTGCGGGTTTGGCGGCGGGGGCCATCGCAACCTTCGCGCTTTATCATCAGCTCATCTACGTGAGAGTCATTGACATTCACGCGGCACACTCAAAGCGCCTGGAGGCCATTGGGCAGGAGCTCCTGCAGGCCTCTTGTGAGGTGTCGCAGCTCCAGTACGGCAGCAGCGATAGACGTGATTGAAGGGGCAAACATCGACTTCAAACGTGAAGACGGCATTGGCAGAAACAAACACTCCTTTCCTTTTGTATATATATATATATATATATGCGTTGTTGTTGTCTCCCTTTCCCCTTTTCTATGAGCTGCCCGCCACTGCTGTGCTGAAGAGAGCTGCATTTTTTTTGCACTTATTACTTGCCTTGGCCTGCGCTTCTTTTTTTTTTTGTCTTGCTCGCTCCTTCTTGCGGTGAAAGAGGGGACAAGAGAGAGGAAAACGAAAAAAAATAATAGTTTGTGAGTGCCGTAGGTGTGGGAAAATAGAGCAGAATTTATTCTGGCGGGGCTTGGACACACGGCGAGATTGCACAACGCCGTGAAACGTTAACTACGGGAAGAAGTATGACGACTTTGACGGCTGCAGCTCTGCTGCATAACACCGCCACTCGTGTGACGCTAGGGAATACGCCTTTGCACGCTGTGCCGGTGACGGTGGCACAGCAACTAAAGCCCCTGCTGGAATCCAGCACCTCACTGACTGCCTTCACGGTCCACACACAATTTACGCCTCCAGAATCCTTGCGGCTTCTGCTACTTGGAGCTTCGCGTTGCCGCAGTCTGCAGCATGTGCGACTGGTGGGGGGCATCAGTGTGCTGCAGTCAAAGATGTTGATGTCGGCTTTTATGCAATTTACGTTTGCCCGAAGAAACTCGAGGGCGACCTCGGCGGTGAGACCTGTCAAGAGTCCTGCAGAGCGTTGTCCGCGTACACCCTTCTCGAAGCGTCCATCACCGGCCCCCAAACTCCGCCGCAACGCTGCAGGGTGTGAAGCAGACATGTCCCGTAACGGATGCCACCCTGGTGGGTCCAGCAGGCTGCACTTGTATGCGCGGGCGAACTCGGAGACCTCTAGGTTGCCCTCACCACGGAAGACCTGGTTGAATGGAGTGCACATGGTACTAGACATGCATCATCTTGATGACGTCGTGGCAGGTTTTTTGCTGAAAGGGCTGGAGCGATCAGAACGCATCGTCGGTCTTGATCTCCACATTGCCCCGACCTCACAGGCCGCCACACGGGCCGCAGGGCGTATGTTGTCGCATGCAAATGCTATTGTTGCTCGCAATGCTCGACGAGTGCGTTACTTGCTATGCCAGAAGCCTCCAGGCGAGGCTGCTCCTGCGCCGCGTGCACATCAAAAAGAGAAGGTTCAATTGGTTTCGTATTCACCACTTTCAGAAGATGCTCCAAAAGCAGAATATCGAGAGGAGGAGAGAGCGGGGGAAGAAATCAGGAAGAATGAGGAGTGGAGAGGGGCAATTGCGGCTGTTCGACAGGAGCTATCGACGTTCGATTTGCATACGCTTCCACCACGACGCTATTCCCCGCCGCGTCTCTTATCGGGGGCTCCGCCGGACCCGCCTTTGCGGCCAATGCAGCCGCGTGTGGTGAATGCACGCCTCAGACTCTTCGGAAAAGCTGATGTGGAAACGGAGCACAGGCCACTGCATGACGAGCGGGGGGGACGGAAGGGGGAGGAGGAGACAGTTCATGACAATGGATGCTTCGTCTGCTTTGGAGAGGTGTCGCATACGCCAGAACAGGTACAAGCACCAAATACCCCACGAGATGCAAGACGTGGGCGTGAGGAGCAGCGAGGAGATGGATTGTTTGCATGCCCGACGCCAGGGGACTTCTTGGAGGCGACACAGGCGAGCCCATCCTTCTCACGCCACACACCGTGTTCACCGCCTTCCACAAGGAAGCAGTTGACGCAACACATTCGGTACCTCCACGGGTGCGTGCGAGACATCAACGGCGTTGTGGTGCGCTACGAGATGGCGAGTCGGGACTCCATACAGAGATTGGTCACCGATATGCGTGTGTTGGAGGAACGGTTTACAGAAGGGCTAACTTCCAAGCTAACCGACATTTTGGTGTCCTTGTCGGAGATGGAAAAACAGGTGGAGTGACACCGTTTTATTTATTTATTTATTATTATTATTATTTTTTTGTTTGTCGCGCATGTGTTGCGGCACAGAACCTCACTTAACAACCTACAGAGTCTCTTATATATTCTTCTGCTTTGTCTTTGTTTGTTTGTTTGTTTGTTTTTGGCTTAATCGTGGTTGAGATGTGTGTATGCGCCTCTGCGTGTATGTATGTCTGTGTGCTTATGACCGGAGGGGAGGAGTCACGTGCTGTCGCATTTTCGTTGGATTCCATCCGACGTCGTAGTTATATATGTATTATGTGTCTTTTGTGGCCGTTGCTGCCGTCGCCGTCATGTGCACCTGGCGCTGTGCGGGGATCTTTTTCCCGTATGCGTGTTTTTGTTTTGTTTTTTGTTGGGTTTCTGCGTGAAGGGTTTCTCGAGCAGCCAGAACGGCGGATGCCCCCAGCGGCTGCGGTTGTGGGGCGGAGCATCATGAAGGCTTTTCGGCACCTTGCCACGCAGGACCTGCACACGCGTCGTGTGGAGGAGGCGTACCGTGTCGTGGTGGAGTGCGTCACGGCGGTGGACCCGGCAATGCGGCTGTACATGTTTGGCTCCACTGCTGTTTACGGCGTGCACGAAAAGGGTAGCGACGTGGATTTTGTGGCGCTGAGCGAGACAGACGTGGAGGATGGGAAGGGCGAGGACGCCGCGACGCAGGTGGCGAAGGGGTTGCAGGCCGAGTTCCTAGGAAAACTGGCCAAAGTGGTGCGACAGAAGCACTTCTCCTGGAACGTGGAGGAGGTGCGACGCACACGCGTTCCGGTGATTCGTGTGAAGGGCGGGGGCGGTGTGGACTTTGACATTACCGCGAACCGACGCAACGGTGTGCGCAACAGCGCGCTGTTGCGGGCCTACTTTGAGCAGGATCCGCCGTGCCGTTGGCTGAGTATGGGGGTGAAGCGGTGGAGCAAGCGGGTGGGGTTAAACGCCTCTGTGGTTGGCGGTAGCATCACCTCCTACGGGTTCAACTTGATGGTGGTGTACTACCTGCTTCAGCGCGGGGCACTGCAGTTCATTCCCCCCACCGCCATTGACGTGGCGAAGGTGGCGCCGGTGCCGCCATACCTGCCGCTGGAGCCACCACAAAACGATGGGGTGGAACTGGGGGATCAGGTCTTAGATTTCCTGCAGTTTTACATGCATGAATTTGACGCGGCTCATCATGTTGTCTCACTGAGCCGCCCGGGCATCACAACGAAGGAGCAGTTGAACTGGACAAAGGATGCGGAGGATCGCGCCCGCATGAATGGCGAGAAGATTAACTACCAGTGGTGCATCGAGGACCCGTACGAGCTGAACCTGAACGTTGGAAGAAATGTGACGCCGCTGAAGCGTGACTTTCTTCGCAAGCACATGGATAAGGCGCGGGAAACGGCTCTTTTAACCTCTACCGAATAGCCGAGGGCGCCGGTCATTTTCTCTTCTTTATTCATCGTTACTCACATTTACGTTTTGGAGGTATCTGGGGGCCAGCTGCGGCAGCAAAGCCGAACACACCCACATACATACATGCATACACACAATATAAAACCAATGAGAGAAGCAGCAACGCCAACAACAACCTCAAGACGTCACTTCTTCCTTTTATATTGTGTCTTCCGTGGGTGTGTCTGAAGTGTTCCTTTGCCTCCAAACGGAGCTGCGTTTACTTTTTTAAAAAACATGTGTTTTTCTTTTCTCCTTTGCTTGTTGGTGCTGCCGTGTGTTGCATTCACCGCCCATTCAGCGGCGAGAGGAAGGCGTGGGGTGGGGTGGGGTGGGGGAGTATAGCGAGGCGAGACTCCCAATAGCGGCTCACGTGCGCGTAGTCAGCGGTGAGAGCGGAGGAGGGAAAAGAGAATAGGTGGGTGGGGGTGGGGTACAGAGAGCAACATACAGGACCGAAGGAAAGAAGGAGGGAAACACACATACACCTAAGACGAGAATCTATCTAGAATCACTTCATTGCAACTGCATATGCGACGCTGGTACTGCCTTCCACTTGTGCCTCTATGGGGGCTTGTTGGGCAGCGCGGAGTGTCGGGGGACGATCGCTCTGCTGATAGTAGCGCATTTCTCAGTGATGATGAGGCCTTGCACGGAGAGCTTGCCTCCATGCTAGAGACGGAGGGACACGCCGCCCCGTTGGACGCCATGCAGCAGCACCCATTAGAAGTCGCTGCAATGGGCAGCAGCACTGGCACCATTTACTTGGAGAAGCTTGCGCGTCCGCCTGCTCGTTTTGATCTTCTCACAAATTCTTTTGTATACAAATGGCAGACTAAGGCGGCATTGGCGCGCAAAGTGTCGGGCCCAATGCGGGAGTGGGCAGCTGAACTGAAGTATAGAACAGGGGTACATATGGAGTTGGAACCCACCTTCCCTGAGCGGATATCGGAGGATGCCACCGCCGGAGATGATAGTGAAGGAGGCGTCTATGAGAACGCCGATGATGTGGATATCACTGTGTACCTCTTTGGGTCTGAGCGTGGTATATTTAACTGTCATAAGTTGATGGAAGCGGCAATACAGCAGGATCCTGTGTATGTGCGTCTAGGTGTTTTTAGACGGGTGCCCAGCTCAAAGGAGGTTGAGTGGTTGATGCTGCGCCGCATCAATCGCGAGATGCGGCCACCGGACATCCCACCCATTTCGCTTAAACTTCCAGGAAAGTGGACACTGCTGTACGAACGCTACAAGGAGGCTGCTGTCCGCACGCTATGGGAGGAAACAGGAATTACCGTTGATCCCAACCATGTTTTCCCAACCGCGCAGCTGTACCAAACTTCTCCCAAGTACTACTGGCGTGTTCCGGTGCGTTACTTTGTGGCTGAAGTGCCACACGACGTGCGTGTGGAGGGACCACAGGTGGTGCCAACACAATACATGCGCAACTGGGACGGGCGCCTACTTCGCCAGTCTCCCGACCCCATTGACCGTGCTTGGGCGCAGCTGGCGGACCCCATCACGGGATGTGCATGGATGAAGGCCCCCATGATTGACGAGCTGCAGAAACCGCTTCGAGGTGAGATGTACATGGCCACGCGGTACACGCCACCGCCGTACTCCAATCTTCAGGATGTGGTGGGTCTTGGCGATGGCGACCAGGAGGCGCGAGCGACGGAAACTAGGGCCCCTCACCCTCCTGCATAGAAGTTTCTATTATTGAAGGATGAAGGTGACTGGAAAAAGGAACGACTGGAGGTGGTGCCGCTGTAGCGTCAGCTTTAGACGTACGGGATGAAGAGCAGAGGAAAGAGAAAAGTAAATGAGAGAGGAGAAAGAAAAGAGGTGGAGCCGCGTCCACAATACGAAGAATGGAAACCGAAAGAGGAGAGAAGCAGACAGCAACACGTGGCTGAGAGGGGCAGAGGAGTCGCTTGGGGTGTGAAGAGAAGGTCTGGGCCAACGCATCTCTCCTTGTAGCGGCAAAGCAAAAAAAAAAAAAAGGAGAGTGCAGAATAACCGGAGAAAAAGAAAAAAAAAGTGGAAAGGAAGCTGGTAAACGGGAATAACGGAGAGGGGGGGTGAGCGTGTCTGTTAATGAATGCGGTGGGCGGTGTGGCTTCTCTTCCACCAGCGGTATTCCTCGCGGCCTGCGAGTGCCGGCTACTTCGTATTTTCCTGTTGGTGTGTCACACGCTAACCGTCTGTGTGTGTGTGTGCGGGACCGAGAGAGAGAGAGAGAGGCGTGCGGGTCCGTCGTTTACCTGCTGCAGGGCTGAGGCGAAGCAAAGACCTCCACTCTCTCGTTTCGCTCTCTTTTTTCTTACATGACTGCCGTTACAATAAAATAAAATATATGCACACATAATCACACGAAACAGAAGAAAAAAAAAGAGGGAAGATGCCACCGCCGAGGCGGAAAGGTCCACGTGGTGGCACCAGAGACATAAAACGCGGCGTGGACTTTGAGGGGTTTTACGCCGGGGTTTACGGCACACGGTGGCCTGCGCTTCGGAAGGCATTGACGGCGGCGGCCCCGCAGAAGGTGGTGCTGTGGAACCGCTTTTGTCAGTTACCCTTTGAGCAGGTAATGGCCAACATGAAGCGCGTAGACGACGCGTCACTGCTGCAGGTGTTTCGGAGCCAAGATGCATGTGAGGTGGCGCCACCCGTCAGTGACGAGTTCAATGTGAAGGCGTACTACTTGCTCGATTACGCCTCGACGCTGGTGGTGGAGCAGTTGGAGGTCAATGCCTTTGATCACGTGCTTGACATGTGCGCAGCCCTTGGCGGGAAGTCGATTGGAATTGCGCAGTTTCTCTCCGCCGACGGGACACTGACGGCAAACGAGCCGCAGTATGACCGTTGCGCCCGACTACGACGCAGCATTCGGGAGTACGTTCCGTCGAATTACGTGCCTGTGATCATTACCCAACGCAGTACCGAGGTGTGGTATGCGCCGTCAATGTACCACCGCGTGCTCGTTGATGCCCCGTGTTCTGCTGAGCGGAATCTCCTGCAGCGCGCCGGCGCTGCCCCCGTCAGTTCCAAAGTCTGGACGGAACAGAGCTCGCTGGAGCTGCGCCGCAGACAATGCGTGACACTGCTGCGAGCCGTGGAGACCTGTCGCCCTGGTGGCCGTGTCGTGTACAGCACCTGTTCCATTTCCCCCTTGGAGAATGACGGTGTTGTGGAGGAAGTGCTGCGGCGAACCCGTTGCCAGGTGGAGGTGCAGGCACCGACGCTGCGCAGTATCGGTGAGAAGACGCGCTACGGCCATATTGTGCTCCCGGACACTGCTGGGGGGTTGGGCCCGATGTTTTGTTGCGTGATTCACAAAGTATCTGACAGGCGCGAGGAAAGCGACAGCGATGACGAGGAGGACAACAACTGTGAGAGTGACAACAACGAGGATTAATAACACTGCATTGTGGCGTGCAAGCACGAGTAAAAGTTAGGGACAGGAGGTCCCCACACACATGCATGCGCGGGTGGAGGGAGTTTCTCCCACTTTCTTGCCTCGCTTTCTCTTTCGGGTCCTTTGAGCGAGGGAGTGCAAGGACGTGTTACCACCCGAACTGTTTGAACATCTTTTGATCGTTGCACGCATCCTTTCTTTCTTGCCTTCTCCTTTTTTTTTCACCGCTTCTCTTTCCTTTGATGCATGCTTGCAGCAGGAGGTTGAGAGTTCTCTTTCCCCTCCCCAACTTGCCGCTCTTTTTAGCACTCATCTCGTGTTAGTCGTTGTGCCACGTTTGAGTTTTGTGCTATTCATGACGAGGGGCTGGCACGCCGGGTGTGCATGAGGTGTTGGTCACCATGGCGGCGCGTGGCAGAAGCAGCAGCAACGGCAACCATTCACCGCCAGCAGTTTCTCACAGGCGGCATCTCCGAACGCCGGGCCACGGCGGGTGGGTCACATGGCGTTGCGAAGTATTGTCTTCCGCTTAGGCGTCCTCTGCACTTTTTTGAGAAGGGGATACAGTTGAGTGCATTTGCCGCGAAGAAGGTAAAGGACACGATGATGGGGCCGTGCGCAGCGCCGGAGCTGACGCGTTGCTTCACGAGGATGCCACACGCCACGCGGCCTGCCACTGTCACCACATGCTGAAGTCGTTTCGTGCGGAGCGGCGGAAGTGGAGAAGGGCGAACGAGTTGTCCTTTGACGACCTCTTACGTGTGATGGAGTACGTATTCTTTGTCACCCTCTTGCTACACCTTACCGTCTCTCTGTGAGACGGCGGGCAAGTACTGCGAGACGCTGATTGACGCCACCGTGTCCTGTACAATATTTTTCTCCAAGGGTGCCGATAAACTAAATTGTGCGGATGTGCTTCCTCATGAGTGTGCGAAAAGTGCAGGTACCAAGTTGGGGTCTGCGCCCAACAGGGAGAGCGTAGAGGCGAGAGACGAAACATGAACTCACTGCACTGGGCGGCGGTGCACTTTATCCGCGGTGCCTGCATTTGGGGCCTTCTGGATCACACAGAGCCCTTGCTTGACATGAAACGTACCATGAAGTCATACACTAGGATGCTACAAACATTTGCCAGTGTCACCCGTGAGTGCATTGCGGGGGTGGGGGGTGGGGGCATCTATTGACAGCAGATCTAAACTTTTTGGCGTGCCTGGACACACGAGAGGGAGCTGAAAAGTGGCTTGGTCCTGCAGCCAATCCTGTTTCGTCTTCTACAAACATCTCCACGTGTGTTGAAAAGAATTCTGTGGAAGAAATGTTTCAGTTTGCTCAGCAGCGCCATTTACAGCTTTTTCCACTTGTGTGGATGGCTTTACTGTGTCGTCACTCGGCCACACTTGAGATGCCACAGGGTTTTCACTCTGTGCGGCACGCTTTGCTGCGTGCACTGCCTCTTTTTCAACAAGAGGCGGGGGCGGGCACTGCACTGAGGCTCATTGTGCGGTGCTGCTACTTTCCATCATCATTCCTAAAGACAAGTTCTCTGGAGATGGGCGTTTTGCTCGACCAAATGAAGCGCCATGGGGTGGTTTCCTCGTCAGAACGCGTGCGCAGCGAAATACTACACGAGCGGATGTGTACAGAGGCCCCGGAAGAATCGACACCGGCGGTGAAGACTGTCCGCGGGGCGTACATGGCGTTTCGTAACATTCCACTGTGCGCCTTTTAGGTGATGGGAAAAACATATACCGCCACAAGCGATGATGAGGCTTTTTTGCATGAGCTCCTGATTCATACCCTGACGCAGTGGCTGTTTTATCTGTCGCAGAGAACAGTGTCTAGCAGGGAGATTGAAGAGCTTTCTGTTATCCGCGCAGTATGTAGCGTCATTGTTTGACGCCATTAAGCGACATTAGAGGGATCAGCAGAGCGCGGGTGCCGCTGTACTTATTATTGAGGCAACCTTTCGTGCCTTTGATGTGCGCGTGACTGCCTTTGCACGGAGTGCGACATGCTGGGGGGCAGGACGCTGGATCAGCTAGTGGAGTTTGATCGCCTCCTTGACCGTGTGCTTCAGGGTGGGGTGGGGGGCTGTGTGCCTGGGATGTACGAAACGAACAGACACCAGTGGATTTGCGGCACGCAGCGGAGCAGGTCTTGTAACACGGCATGGATCATGGTATCTCTCCCTTTTTGCATCTCTCTGAAGGAGGAGGAGGAGGAGGAGGAGGGTGCATGAGGAGGGCGGTTATCGTTTGCGCACTATTTTTCTTCCTGCGGTGGTTGTGGAGCACACAACAGCGTGTTTTTTCCCTGACTTTCTCCCCCTCTCTCTTTTTCTCTTACTGTACTGCTTGTCTCTTATGGGCGTGTATTTTTTAAGCCTTTTTTTTTCTTTCTGCTTCTCTTGCTCCAGGTGAATAACGCTCACTCCGGCTCTTGCAGGGTTTCCAAGGGAGACAGAAGGGAGGGAGTAAGGAGTGCACGGTGCGCATGCGCGTCTGGACGCAGACACCGGTCGCTGCGCGGCATCCCACAGGGTTTGCCGTGCACAACTTGTCGAGCGACGCCGAAAAGATGTCGGCATCACCACCAGACGCGGGTGGAAACCGAGAGCGAGAGGCGGAGATAGAACAGCTGCATCAGTTAGTAGGGGCGGCGGCGGGGCTTGTCTTCAAGCAGCGCCTGGCCATCCATCGCATGAATTGCGGCTCGCTTCCGTCTGGAAAGGAACACCGACCCTTGCACACATCTGTGAGTAGGGGGGATGCCTGCAATGTTGCGTTACAGCGGCTGGCAGATCTGGAGGATCATTTGTCGCAGGAAACGAGTCGTTGTATTCGTTTTTCGAATGTAACAGCTCTTCACTTCCTCAACGCGAAACACTATTCACGTGCGCTGCAGATTCTACTTAGAGAGGAGGCCATGACACAGAGGGGGGCCGGAAAGTGGTTTCCCTTCTTTAGCACCACGGAATCTATTGAGATGGATGTTAGGAACTTTGTTCAGTCGATGGAGGACCATCACGGCGGGGATAAGGGGTGTATGCAGGAGATATTTGTTCCTTTCTTCACCAAGCGTCATGAGAAGATGCGGCAGCTTGCCTTCGCCGTGGTCAACAATAACATTGGGTTATACCACTTCAAGCTTGCAGAGTACGAGCTGGCGGTGCGGCGCATGTCCCATGCGCTTCACTTAGAGGAGGCGTTAGGGGTTGAAACCATTGGGGTGACGTACTTTAACCTAGCCCAGGCGCAGTACGAATGTGGTAATGTGGAGGAAGCCTTGACAGCCATCTCGTTGGCGGAGGAGGCGATTGAGAGGCGCATCTACGAGTCCGAAACCCAAATGAATAGTCTTCACCGTATTGCCAAGCACGGCTGCGATGATGGCGGTGGTAGTGCCAGCATTGTTCCAGGGCTAGAGCGACGAAGGCTTGACGTGCACATTAGCTGGCGTGAAAGTGTGTGCCTGCTCTCACGTGTGTTGGAGGCCCACGGAAGGTGGCTGCAGAGTAGTACCGCCTACAAGGCTGCCATACATCGTTTTGAGCAGAGCGATAGGTGGCTCTCGTCTGTAAAGCGGCTAAGTGCGGAGGAGAATAAGTGGCGTCAGGAACTGCGGCAGCGCATACAGGAATGCAAGCGTGCGCAGCGACACAGCTGCTGTCATCCCAAGTCAACAGCATTGTACTCCTCCCCACTCCCTAGCAGATCTTCCGCTCACCCGCGCAGCATCATCGTCACGACGACGCTTCCACGTCGTATTGAGATTACAACCTGTGCGACACCGTTTGACAATTTTGCCAAGCTGAATGAGAAGGAGGATGAGGAAAATAGAGTAGCAGGGGTCGACCTGCGACACCCACTGAGGCAGCGGCGGCAGCAGCTGAAGCAGCATCAACATCAGGGGCAAAAGAAGCAAAACGAAAGACGTGTGAAGCCGGGCCACAAGGATGTGTACGACTTCTCAAATATCTCCCCTACAGCTGCCGCTGCGGAGCTGCCTCACTGCCGCAACATGCCGCGCCGCCCAGCGTGGGATTCAGACACGCATGTTGTTCACCGTGACTCAATACGACGCCGCACGGCGACACCGACTGCAAGTTCTCTGACGCACACGAATTCGGAGACCAGGACCTCCTCGCGGTTAACCTCCACTGCACATACGCCGTTCTCACGGGGAGCTAAGAGCGGGCGTGAGACCTCAGGAAGGCCGACGTTATCGAGTGAAATGGAACTGACGCCATCAGATGTACAGCGGAGACAACGGTCAAGCCAGGCGGAGGCGTGCACGCCACTGCATAGACCGCAATCGGGTCACCATGCCGTGGCACGCCGTGCCTGGGATTTAAACAATAGCGATGAGTTATCGCCACCGACGACTTCCACGTCGGAAAGGAAGGTGTGTGCCCCTTCGCTGGGGAGATGCATACATGTCCTGCAGGCCTTTGCCCGGGCACGGCTCTCATTGTTTGAGAGGGAGTGGCGGAGGCTTCCCTGTGGAACGGGATTAGTCTCGTCTCAAAACCATTCCTATTTTTTAAATTATTCCTTATCTTCCTTCTCATCGTGCAGCGACGCGATGCTCAACACTGACGGCGCACTGTGCCTTGCGAAAGCTGGTGACTGTGTCTTGAAGAACGGCGGGGCTTCCGTGAGGACGGCGCCTGTTCATAGTACGAGGCCGCCACGTGCAGCTGCGATCCTTTTGGCTTTTTTGTCGGCTCGGCGTTCAGCCTCGCTTGCGTGTCAGCGGCGCATCGAGCAACAGTACGCGAGAGTGATGGAAAGGGTTCTGCAGCAATACACCGCTTGTGCCGCGTCTTCTTTGCCTACGACAGCGAGGATGCAGATGCTGCGTGGTTCAGAACGAAACCGAACTTGGGCAGAGGTGCAGCCGCAGGTTACCAATGGAAGTTACGCAGCTTTCCCTCCGCACCGGGGGGAGAGTTCCCCAAATAGGAATGATAAGACGCGTCTAGGAAGTGGGGGAAGTATGGCTTCCAGCGAGGATAACACGAACTGTGCACACCTCGCCGAAGGCAGATTTTGTCGCAGGTACAGCTCGCTTCTGCGCATGCTTCCGCATGGGGGAGAACCCCCCAACACTTCGCTTGACGCCATCACGGTGGCGAACAATCACTTGAATGGGGATGCAACGTCGGTAAACACACGCAGTACCGGGCCGCACGTTTACTCAAGCAGTTCCGCCACGCCTCCCGTGTCGGAGGACTTAGCCATTCGAAACGGCGGGGTGGAAGATTTTTCCACATCCTCATGGTGCTCGCGACGACGTTCAGACTTCTCCAGCACGCCGCTGTCGGAAACAAATCCACAGAAAGCGAACCGCCACCCGCATATTCTTTCCCTGCCGCGTGATGAGAATGCGGGGATTGTGAGGTGCGGCCACACCGACCTGCCAACGGCAGATGTCTTTAGCAATGACGTTCAAAATCAGCTTCCGCCACGTCACCCCGTGGCTAGGCGGCTGCCGTTTTTGTCGTGGGAGAGTGCCAACGGTGCTGCCTACACCACAGCAGGGATTCTTCGGCAACGACTTCTGAGAACGGAGGCCGCCACCATAATTCAAGTGGCCTGGCGCAATTGGAGAGAACGACGACGCATGGACGCGGTGCGAAAATTGAAGGATTTACATAGCTACAGTAAATTACAGCTGGGTTTGCGTTCACGTGACCCATCGGAGAAGACTAATAATAGAAGTCTACTGAGGCGATTGTGATGAAGGTGGCTCTTCCTTCTTGCTAATGTGGTTGATAGAACCCCCTTGGAAACTCAGGAGGGGAGGAGGATGCAACAGATATCATGGCAAAGCGGCCACGGGGTACGATGCCCTTACCCCACTTATTACACTCAATTAACCGCGTACGTAATAATCATACGTGTACGCATATTGCACATGTATGTCGTGTGTGGTTTGTATGGTTTCCGGACGAGGATGACAATATAGAAGCGAGGCAATTTTCCCTCACAGTTCCGTCTTTTTTAGGTCAACAAGGCCGGTGATGTTTTGTTTTGTGCATATTATTATATAATGCACTTCTCGTTCTTGTGTGCCCGCATTCTCGATCTCTCTGCAAACATATATATGGGAGAGGGAGGTGCCACTGTTCGCCTGCATACAACACCATGCGCCTTGATTATTCTTCATAGTTTTCCTTCTTTTGTCTGTTGTTGTTTGAAACGTTTTTCCAGCGCTGTTTGTTTCGTACCGATTTTTTTCTGCTTCTTTTTTCATTGTGTATGTCTAGGGAAGTTCAACATCAACACGATGAGGATATGGGGTGAGGGTGGCGGCACATACATGGGCTTGATGATAGAAACTTGTGGAAGGAGTCTGCGACGAGGTGAGTCTAAATACGTGGACAAGTTCCTTCCCACCCCCTTTTTTTTCTTTTTTACCTTTTTCTGTTTCTTTACGGACTTTTTGCTTGTTGCTCTTTCCCAGGATACCGCGTTGGGAGGCGGCGCAAGTTCAGTTTTCGTTTTGTGTCTTTTCTCCCCTCTTCACCCCAGCCTCTGATGCCCTCCGTGCGGAGGGGTTTGGCCGTTCCCCCCTACTAAAGACCAACACTTCGCACGTTGAAAACCAAAGTCCAGCAGCCACTCATTGTGTTACGACCGGATTCTTTTTTCTTTTGTCTTGTTTTTGTTTGGCGTGTAGAGGGTTGCCATGTCTTGTCCAAACCTGGAATTGTGTAGGCACTTAAACAAACTGTGATATTTTTTTTTTTTTTGCAGGAGGGGTCGCCTTGGGCCTGGTCCAGGCAGCATTTTCTCTTCTTATGGTCTGTCGTGTACACGAGCCTCTGAGCCCACAGACGCGGTGATGCACAACCCCTTCACTGTCTTGCGCTTTCGACGTTGTTGACGCCAGCTGTGTGGGTGCGCTGCCTCTGTGAGAGTGACGGATACATCAGGTTGGACAGCACGACTCGAACTTTTAATGCGTGAGAGTGCCGTGGTGGTCTTAAAGTGGATGAAGGCGTTGTGCCGTCGTTTTTGTCGAGGAAGCAGAGGCGGAATAACGTTGGGGAACTATCTTACTCTGCGTGTGTAATCCTGCTTTGCTTACACCTGTGGACGGACATGCATTGACAGTGGAGGGCACACTGTCGGATCGTGGCTCCTTTCACTAGTGAGGTGTAAGGTGGTGTGGCCGCGCGGATCCAATCCTTCAGCCATCCGCGGTTGTGAGGAGAAGCAACGGAGTTGTTTGCCTGCGTCTCTGGCTCTTATTATTATTATTATTATTATTATCCGTCTCATGAAGCTCTTATTACTATTTTGGGTCTGGCTTTTATTTTTTCTATTGCTTTTATTTTTGTCTTTGTTTCTTATGCTGTTTTGATGTTTCACTCCCTTTTGATTTGACCACTATCGGTCGCTCGAATTTAACGCTGCGGCAAGCCTTTGTAAGTGGAGGCGCATACCTCCACTAAAGGCAGCCGCATCGTGCCATCACAGTGCAGACCGGCTACGCGGGTTCTCCACTTTTTGTTTTTGTGCTGCATGGCGGAGGCGCATATGCCATCCCGCGCCGCGCCGCATCCGCGACGACCACCCCCGGTGGTAATTGTCGTGGGTCACGACATCGATGCCTCCGCTATGCCCCTCACGTATGAGCGAAACCGGTTTCTGATAGACATGCTGCGCCACTACGCCTGCCCCGCCTTTCTTCAGAGGGCAGTCGGTGATGCCACGGATGCGGCCTCAAGCGATGTGTTTGAATGGGTGTCCGACCCCCTTCCCGTGGTAGGTGTGGAGGAGATGGCGGCATTTCATGACGAGGCATACCTACGGTATTTAGCTATCCGCGAGACCTTGTCAGAGTTGGATGAGCGGGCCGCATCTTCTAAGCGTTTGAGGGCGGGGGAAATTCAGCCCCCCGTTTCAAGAAAAACTTTTGCACAGCTTAGACCCTTGCCGCGTATGCTGCCTGATCTCGTGCCTATTTCAACAGATGAGGAATATGGCCTTACCGACGACAACGCCCCTTTTGTAGGCATGTGGAGAACTATTCAATCCACAGTGTCAGGTACTCTTTTAGCTGCTCGTTTGTTGGCTCACTCCAGCCTTTTTGCCGCGATTCACTGGTTTGGTGGGAGAAATCATGCCAAACAACGTACTGCGGGGGGATTTTGCTTTGTAAATGATGTGGTTCTTGGGGTTATGGAGCTGCAAAAGTCACTTGCTCCAGCTAGGAATCGTATTCTTGTGGTGGACGTGGATGCACATCATGGCGACGGCACACAAGCGGCGTTTGTGCACGATAATTCCGTCTTGACCTTATCCATGCACGCACACGGAGTTGGGATTTTTCCTGGAACGGGCGGACTCGAGGAGATTGGTGCTGGGCTTGGGCGTGGCTTCACGATGAACATTCCATTGCCAGCAGGTGCCACAGATGCCATTGCCGTGCCATTGGCTCATCGAGCTATTTATGCAGCGTTTAAAAAGCTGGGTGTGTCTCTGGGTGCGGTTGTTATTGTTTGTGGTTCAGACGCTCTTAGCGGGGATCCGCTGGGCGCTCTCAATCTCACGATTGGTGGAATGCAAAGTATTATTCGAACGCTGCTCCAGGAGGCGGCCAACCGCTTCCTCAAGGTTCTTCTCCTTGGTGGGGGCGGCTACGTGGATGCGAGTTGTGCCCGTCTTGCGGGAGTAATCACGAGGGATGTGCTCAGCTGTGCGGCGGCACTGCGCGTGGGCAATAAAGACTACTTTGAGGACTCGACCAATCTATTGATTAATCTCAGCGTGGCTGTCCCTGAAACTTGTGAGAACTTTGCTCGCTACGGGCCGTCGTTCCTCATGCATGGTCTTCCGCCTGCTCACGTGCGCAGAATACATCACATACCGTGCGACTCCCCTCTGTTTAGGCGTATGCAGCGGGTGGCGGAAAAGAAGGCCTTGCGGTGTCGCAGAAGGGACGAGGAGGAGGAAGAAGAAGAGGAAGAGGAAGAGGAAGAGGAGGAGAAGAGGAAGAGGAAGAGGAAGAGGAGAGGAGGAAGAGGAAGAGGAAGAGGAAGAGGAGGATGAAGAGGAGGAGCGGGAGGGGGGGGAGGAGGAGGAAGTATGAATGCGTTTCAAGTACATCATACTATCCTTGCTTTTGTCGATCTCTTGCTCTTTGCTTGCATAGTTTGTAACCCACGATTTTATGGAATGTTTACATGGGAGCTTGATGGGGGAACCCCTGGACTTTCCTACAACTGACTCCGGAGACAGGGAATTCTCACACCTTGTTTTTGTTTTTGTTGTTTTGTTGTTATTGTTGTTGTTTCCACACATGCCGCTGCATCTCTTCCAAATAGTTTGGTTTGCTCATGCTTTTTTGCTTTGGTAAACTGCTTTTCTCATCTCTACTCTTTCCTTTCTGTTTATTTCTCCGCATGTTTGGGTGCTAAAGTTAGAATGCTGAGTGCGAGGGCGATAACAAGTGAGTTTGTATCTGTGTTTCAGGACATGACTATCCGGGTTGGTGTCTCGTTTGACCTGCTGGGCACCTTAGTGGACGTGTGCCCCTCCTCGGGGCATCAGTACGCCACTGACCTTGTTCGCTTCCTAGCAGTGAAGGGGTTGGACTCTCCGTCAATCAACGTGGACATGTTGGAAGAGGCCTCCTCTAAATGCTTGAGGGCAGAGCTTAGAAAAGACCGTGCGAAGTGGGAAACCCAAAACTTGGGAGCTGCAAAAGAGATGCCCATTGGGGGTGTTACGAAGGAATCTGTACTTGAATTTTGGAGTCGTGTTGTCGATGCAACGTTTACTGCTGACGGGTCCTTCTGCAACAATGACGAGACTGTCATGGCCATCATACAAGAGGCACACAATACGGCGGAGTGGGAGGAATTTCTCAAGAGTGTGGTGCAACGCTTTGCCACACCGGAGCCATACGGTTGGCTTCCTGAGGCGCTTCCAACACTTAAGGCGCTGAAGCAGTGGCGGGAAACGAAGCTTCCACTCGGCATTGAATGTGACCCTCCGACGGTGCTGACGAACTCGGACTACCGGTTAGTTTCCGTGATTCGTGAGATGGTGCAGCGTGACGGCGAGGAGGCGTTGCTTGGCCCCGTCCTTTCTGCGGACAATATTGGTGTGGGCAAGCCTTCCCCTCGTGGCCTTGAGCTGGCGCGAACTCTGTCTCGCGTCACATCCAAGAGCCACTGGATTCATGTGGGCGACACATCGGAGGACCGAGTCGCAGCTGAGCGGGCAGGGTGTCATTTTGTCTCCTGTTTGTCCACGAAGGGCCCGGTTTGGGAAGAGCTGCGGGCAAAGCTGGAGGAGGTTTGTAACGTTATGCAGCGTTCTTCGTCTCCTGCTTGATTCCAAAAAATTGTATATATGTATTTATGTTTTGTTTTTCACGGTTTTTTTTATTATTGACATTGTCACTGTGGGTTGGGCGGTGGGGTTGCTGCCCGGCATCTTTTTAATTTTTCTTATATATATATATATATATATATATATATATAGT